AGGGCACAAAGCAAAAGGGAAAGAAGAGGCAGGGAGTGAGGAAGGGAAGAAGAATGAAATGAATTGAACATAGGAACGCTAAGATGGCACACTACACACAAAGAGAGAGAGAGAGAGGGAGTTACAGAGAGTGAGAGAGTGAGAGTGAGAGCGAGCTAGTCTCATACTAGAATCCAGCAAATGGAATGAAGTCCAAGAGAAGGAGCAAAGGAAAGAAACTATACAAACAGGACACCTACAGTGCATGACACTCTTGGGGCTGCTGGATGGAAAAGGTTTTTTGCGGAAACTGAGTTTCTGGTGTGGGAGAACTGGAAAGCGTCGACAGAGAGAGAGAGAGAGGGAGAGAGAGAGAGAGAGACCAGCAAACAGAGTACAACACCCTTAAGGCCTGCAACAAACAATAAGATGGCATACCAGCCAAACGGCTCTAGTAGATTACAATGCCGATCCCCCCAAGCATCAACTGACCACTATGATGGCACACATGGCCCTTTCAGATCCTCGATGTGTTTCATCAAAAAGTGCATATATGCCATGTATTGTCTCGATTCCTGTGTGCCATCAAAGTGTGAACCTGTATAATTGTTATAATTTCATAATAATATGTTGTCATAGAAAATATATTATCATGAGTATGTTTCAGTGTCTTCATCATAATCAATTTTGTAACATTGTATGGTGGTCTCTTTAGGTTGTTTTATTATTTTTGAATTCAACATTTCTAAATACTGCTTCCTTTTGGTTTCAAAGTCCCCTACTGGTCTACCTATGCTTTTCTTTTCAGATGCTTCTCCATTTTCCTTAAATCATTTTTTCTCATTAGTCTTTTCATCAATGGTTTTTAACAACTGTAAGATCAATTTAAGACTATTATTATATCTGTTCATTTTCTTTATAAGCTCATCCATTTTATCAGTATTATCTAAAGTAATAGATCCACCATCATCGTTTGAAACTTTCATAGTCTTATCTTATCACTCTTGCTGATTTTAAAGCTATATGGATTACACTTACACTTTTTGCCTTTAGTGTTGATTTCAATTTCATTCTCAGTTGTAGTTTTCCCTGGCATAAAGGACAGTCAAAGGTAATGAATTTGCTTGTTAGTTTTTGTTCTTCATCTAGTTTTATTGTTGTTGGTTCTTCATCTGCTAGTTCAAACTCTTCGGGGATTTGTGTTTTATTCATCTTTGTTGTTTTTTTGTCTTTTTTGGTGGCATGTATAATATTACATTTTAGATAAGTAATTATCAATTTTGACATTTCCAGTGAGTATTTACAACACTGCTTAAGTTTATTATCTTTAACAACTGGATATTTAGCACTATCATTTTTTTCCATATCATCTCTTCCTGTTATATAAGCATCATGTTCAGATAGCGTCATAATATATAACTATAATTAGATAATGCTTTAACACCATCTAATTATGTAGTGCTTGGGAGAACACTAAAAACGAATTCAACTGTAAGGGCAAAAAATCCATTGCTGAAAAGCAAACTAATTACCGACTTATGCGGATTAGCGTAGCCTCACCTACCGCACTCTGTCCATAGGAGATCTGCTAATATTTAATAATGTTTTCTATGTATTTTTATTAATAGATGAATAATAACACCGCACCACATATTCAACCTATCAAAGAAATCAATTATGAATTCACTCAATCAAAATATGCTGTTGCCTCTAAAGTGCCCTTTAGATCAATCATAACCGGTCCGTCTGGTAGTAGCAAATCAGTGCTACTAACAAACATGAATATGGACACCTACAAGGAAGTTTTTCAAGGGTGTATATCTGGTCACCTTCAATAAATGTTGATAGCATCTGGTTGCCAGTCAAGAAATACATAAAGGAAGAAATGAAAGTGAACACTGGTAAAGAGCAGGTTTTGTTTGAAGACGTTCACAGTGAAGATTTAATGAAAGTCATTGAAACACAACATAGAATAACTGAATACAGTTAAAAAACATAAATAAAAAAAAACAATCCTAATAGTCTTGGATGATATAGCAGATGATCCCAAAATAGCAAGATATTCAAACATATTTGATTCCCTTTATGTAAGAGGTAGACACAATGGTATTAGTGTTATAACATCTGTTCACAAATTTAATGCACTGACCACACTGATAAGAGTTAATGCCACACACCTATTCTTCTACAAGGTCAGCAACTTTAAAGAAATAGAACTGTTTCAAAAAGAACTATCAGCAATACCTAGAAGAAAAGAAACAATATCCAAGAAAGTAAGCAGGTCTTATATAAACTTTATGAAATAGCCACTGAACAGCCACATATGTTTTTAGATATTAATCTTCTGGAAAAGGATAGGAACAAGATGTTTATGATCAATTGTTCACACTATTTGCAAATTGATGATTGATAATGTTAATATGATCAATCTTTATACCAATGAAGGAGCACAAATATTATAGCAGGTAGTTTATACATAATCCTATTCGATTTCACGATGTGAGCAGCTGGGAAGGTTCGTCAAGGGTACACATTCTATCACGAGCGAAATGAACCCCAAAGGTCCCTACCACATATATATATATATACTCATGGGTGAACGAATCACATCCAAAGTGCACAACCCTTGTCTACGACACCGAGAAGGACCTGAACTATGACGCGAGTGTGAAAGAATGGCTGCAACAATAAACTGGTACGCGGACCAAAGAGGTCGGTCTCAACTGGAAACAAACTGAGCTTTTTCGCTGTTGCCTTGGAGTATGCATGAGAGTGAAAAGAAAGTGGGTTATAAGACGGCAATCGACCGTTCAATATGATAAACAGAGAAGGCATATGCAAGCAACTCAATCACGGCGAACTGCGCGCTTTTTGGTTTTCTATCGGGTGCTGTGGTTCAATGTAAAATGAGCTCAGCACAAACCTTCGCGCTCACGGCGCAAAGCATGCTTGAAACGCAGGATGTGGCCTGCAGACCAAGTTGATTGGTTTCTCCGAGACACAACTACAATGTGGTCATCCGCATTCGAAGTTTTCAAAGGCATTGCCTCATTCCCATGTAAATCTACTTACTCTGTTGAAGAAGGGCTACCTTCGAAACTTAAACCAAAGACCTCGCGACTCAAAAGAGCAAACCACGCGTTCAAAACAGCAAAACACATGGCACATGACATGACTTGGCTTCAGCCTGGCTTGGCGTGGATCATTCTCAGCATCTCCTCCACATCTTTGGGATCGGCTTCGATCAGGTCTTCGAGAGTGTAGCCTTGCTCTTCAAGCTTTTCCCCGTACTCCTGCCCAATGGAACGGAATAAGACTCCCACACTCACCAGACAGCATATATAATTCTTTAATATGTTTCCTATCAGCCTAGTTATTAAACCTTACCAATCATGGAAGCGTTCCTTTTGCCGAACTGCCTCCAAACCATTCTGCTGCAACCAACCTGCCAAGCGCGGAGCTGAGGTGTTCTCATCAGGGCGACCATAATCGACATCCCGCTGTGCATGCATGTCAGCTGGACAGCCACACGCATCGCAAGCAAGAAGTCCTTCATCATTGAGCAAGGTGCAAGTCGGACACTGCCATACGGAGGTATCAATCAACTTCTCCATATAGTTCGTCCTCATTGGTGCCCGAATCTCATCCGATGCATCCATTTTCTGAGCTCGGTTCTCCTTTCCTTAGTCAAAGGAGAGAAACGTCCCCGGAATCCAACTCGGACCGGAAGCCAGACTGGCCTTTCTCAGACTGGAAAAAGGGGTGAGAACAGGTCGAAAACACTTCAGAATCCAGACCAAGCACAGACTGATGATCCATCATGATCTCTCCAGATGATCAAATGTGTGGAAAAAAAACACACCATCAAGGAAGACAAATATAACATAATATCATAACATAAGGATAACCTATCATAACATGACATTACTGCACCCGGTACAGGCAGGCGCCATCGAATTGGATTGATTTCCATGTATGTCAATTAGGAATTGTTGTTTCCTTAAAAATCTGGGAACCAAATCATTAGTGCGAGTGCTTCTTCAAGCTTCCCTCGCCGCCTTTAGGGCGGCAGAAGGAGTTTCCTTGAAGAAGCGCGAGCTATCCTACGTCCATACTAGTAGCTTAAGAAAAGGTACTACTAGTAGCTACCTCTCCTTGACTTAGGGAGGATGGGGAGCGGGCAAAACCAAAAAACGGTGCGGTGGAGCATCCCCAAGAGCCAGACTCCACTTTTCGAAAGGTCGTCACGAGATCTTGGTCCAGCAAGCAGAACTTCATCAGACCAACAGGTTGAGAAGCTGAAGCTCCTAAGCCGAGGTTCAAATGACCACGAGCGACGTAATACAGTTGAAAAGGCAGCCAAGAATCGCCAAGACACATCTTAGTCCTTTTTTAACACATGAAATGAAGATGTACATCCGGCAAACCGTTGACCTGGTTTTCTTCTTGTTTGCCAACGTTTAGCCGTTTTGTTGAAATTTGAAGTACAGTTTGCGATTGGGATTCACAAAGTGTCTCTCACCATCGCCGAGTGGCGTTTGGACTCGCGCAACTCTGCGATCCACTCAGCCTTAGGAGCGAAGCCGGCGGAGCAATAGTTGGGAGTCCTGTGGTTGGTTTGCCGACGCCGATACTGCTTGGCCCAACAGCGGACGAATCCAGAATCCAAGAAGAAGAAGAAGAAGAAGAAGAAGAACAAGAACAAGAACAAGAAGAAGTAGTAGTAGTAGTAGTAGTAAGTCGTAAGTAGTAGGAGTAGTATGTAGTAGTAAGTAGTAGTAAGTAGTAGGTAGTAGTTAGTAGTTAGTAGTAAGCAGCAAGTAGCAAGTAGTAAGTAGTAAGTAGTAGCAGTAGTAGTTTTCTGCACAAAGAGCCTGCCCCCAGAACCAAACAAATCAATGAGTCAATCGGATGTGTACATATATATGGCACAAAAAAAAAAGAACTGAAGGCGGCTTTGGAAAAAAGGCCAGCCAGGCCACAGGAGCATCTCCTTGCTTTTTCAAGATCCCTTCCAGAGGTCCAAGCTGACCCAATGGCGGGCCACGGAAGTATAGACCGTCGGCGGTGCGACTGATTTGATACTCCATATACTGCCCGCGCCATGCACCTTGCAAACTTTGAGAAAGTGAAGTTGCTGACAGTCTGAGAGAATCACAAGCACCCGCAGCACTCCAATAGCTCTGCTGGGGCCAACACTCCACTAGTCCAATGTTTGGGCAGTCCAGTTGAACGACCCACCAAATCACCAGCCGTTTGGATCCCAACAAAAGGAAGCAGATGAGAAGAAAAAAATGGTACCTCCAGTTGGGGTGAAACCGCCCAGTGGGTGGGTCAAAACACCAGTTCTGTGTTGGTAAAACCCCAACCAGGTTTCTTTAAATAAACCTTTGGTCGGCATATGTCCCTCGCCTGCCAAGGCATCGTTGTAGTTGGTGGCGAGTCCTGTAGCTGGTGACCTGAACAAATTATACCAGCAACTTATCTTTAGTAGTGCTCATGTGGATGTTACTTGGTGTGGGGAAGGGCATGAACAACATATGACTACATAAGCAAAAAAAAACGTGTGCTTCCTGTGTGTTTCTACCACGGGGTGATGTCATCCTTGCTCGCTGCTGCTCGCTGCTTTCAACATGCTGTACCTCTAGAACATCTCAACATTGAACAAAGCATTTAGGCCATTGAAGAAAGACCCACAAGGGGTGGTGAAAGGGCCGCCATAGCTCGCCAGCTCCCTGCAGCTGCAGGTCCCTTGAGAACTCGTTCAAGGTCCATAGACCAAAGCAAAAAGGCCAAGAGATGCTCAAGGACAAAAGAATGTCATGTGTTTTTACCCCAGACAGCGCCGCACCTTTCAATTTGCTCCGTTTCCCAAGCTTGCCAGCGCAAACGTTTGGCATCGTTCACGCTCTGATCGCGAATGGCATCCTTCTGCTGCCGTTCACGCCTCAGCTTCCATTTGCAGCTTTGACAACAACACCGAACTGTAGCTCCAACAAGGGCATCCTGATTCCAAATGGGCAGGACGGAACAGCAGTTTTATCAGCAAGGGCAACGCCTTGTTCTAGGAACTCCAAAAGAAACAGTGCTTACACTCCCACTCACTAACATGGACAATGGCCACTGGGAAGACCATTTTCCTCTACAAACAGGTGGTTTTCCACTTCCATGTTAGTGAGTCAGAGGGTAGTTCGACTATTGCAAGTCCCACGACACAAGGCCCTGATCCTCTCTTCCTCTTTTTGAACGCGTGCTTGTCGTTTCTCCTCCTCTGCCTGTCGCTTCTCCTCTGCCTTACGAAGACGTGGATCTTCACGCACGAATTTTCTTTGCCTTGCTTCAGCCATTGACAATGTATTGTCTGACCCCAAGACATGACTGCCACCAGAGAGTGTAAAGCTCCGACCAACTTCGCGCTTCCTTCCATGGCATCAACAAACACAAGCACCAAAGAAGGTGTCCATCCCCCAACCCCCCTCGCCTGTGAGTCAAACAGCAACAAAATATGTGTATAGATATATATATATATATTTATGTTATATATACATATATGAGTGTCGGACAATATTACTTAGTACCCGCAAAGGACGTTTGTAATTTGGGTGGGCCCCTATTGTTTTTCAGGTTTTGGCATCTCTTTACATGTATTTTGGTGGTACCCTATCGGTCTCAGGTTTTCTTATACCTGCAACTCTTTTGGGTATCGGCTTTTGGTAGGCCATCACCCATGTTAGAGGGTATCAGTTTTGGGTGGGCCCTTATCGGTTTTGCAGTCAAATCACTATTAAAAAAAAAAAACGATGTCCAGCCGAAGACTACTGCTGACTCACAGTAATTCTGTCGGGTACTCATATGATCTCACAGATGATTCTATGGTTGAGGCGATGTTCAACTACTATGTATCACTCTTTTGGGGGACATGATGGCATGATCCATATCTCTTCATGATTCACATCTCTTCATCCCAAAAATGCGACGCCAAGTGTCTCAGCAATCAACTGTGCATACTTCTCTTCCTCTCTCCGTTGCAAATCTCTAACTTCTGCATGAACATGTGGCACAGGCCCTCGCATTGAATATCCATCTACACGAACCCACTCCCTTTGCTGTCTTTGACTCGCTTCTCGCATTTCGTCATCCATCTCTTCCGGCCGCCCATGGCGCCCATCGTTCCGACCATGGCTGCGGCTCGGCTCCGACATGCCGACGGCCACCCGACGGCGACCGGGTCGCCCGCGGACGGACTGTCGCTGACCGAGCCAGAGCGGAGGAGAGTCGATTAAAGGACCGGGTCGGACGGACGGTGCGGAGGTGAACAGATCTCGTCTGAAGCTTTGAGAAACATGTGAAAACCGTTTGGTTGAAATATGTTGACATTGAACACCTCGCCAAGATGTGCAGAATGTGATCGTTCATTGTGGCTGTGGGATCAAAACTGTGCGGATGGTGGGCACAATTCACCAAACTGGGCATTGGGACACCTACATGTGGAAAGCTATCAAATCAGGGTATATACTTGTCGACAGCGGTCTTGACACATGGGACATCTCTTCTTGTCACTGGTTTCCAGCTGGTCTAGAGAGCCGTCAAGTGATTCAAGCTTCAGTGAACTTGATGTCATGGTCAGTTAATGAAACTCAAGCAGCGCTTGTTGGCATGGAGGACGGCATGGAGGACTGGACATAACAGCTCTTGAGCCTCTTGAGCAGTTGCTGATCGTTTGTAGGAGTATGTAGATGCTATAGTGGTGTCCTATCATTCTCTGTGGCTCTGGTTCCCAGGCGAGTGCACATCCTGCCAATCCATCGGATGGCACGTCACGTTCTTTTCAGTGCCCGAAAAAAAATATTAAAAAAAGAACCGGACCGTCTCGTCTCCATCGTTGGGACCCACGACTGGGGCGATGGTCCGGCGGCTTGGAGCGAATCTCCTCGATGGGCAAGAAGTATCTGTTCAAAGGCGTTGTCCTTATCGCCATGACACGAGACATCACCACTGGGAAGAAGGACGACTCCCCAGTCAGAAGGAAAAGAGAACAGCAGCAAGGACACCGGTTTAGCTGAAACTGTTCCTGCCATGCCAACCCACAAGGAGCAAAGCCTCTGAGGATGATTTTGGCCAGAAATGCTTGGATCTTTGCCTGAAACACTCCCGACTCATGACTATCTTTGAGAAGTCTCCTCCACAGCAGCTCAAGTTCCTCCTTCGCGAGAAGCAACCTCAGAGCAAGAGATAGTATATATGGTGTCACATTGCCATCATTGCCCTCATTGCTTCTTTCGGGTGTGGCAAATAACCAGTTTGGTCATGACCCAGTTCACCACCCCTGCACCTTCAGTCGAGCAAATCAGAAGGATTAAGCTCTGGGCTCGTCGCCCATTAGGGATACGAGGTTGCCTGCGTCGAGCGTAGCCGCCGTAGCCTGCACTCAAAGGTTACAACCAGGGCTGCGACAAAACCGTTCTAAAAGGCCAAGTCTCCGAAAGGAACCGAAGAAACAGAAGCCACTAAGCCGAGGTCAACAGTGTCCGTCGCTTCATGATGGCAGATTGCTGGGTTTCTTTTGCACGCAGGCCACATTCTGGAAGTCCCTGGTCAAACTGGCCAGCTTAAATACTGCATGTTCACCAGGTCGTTGCCGCCATCACCTTTCGCGCACTTTCGGCCTTCATGAAAAGGCTCCCAAAGCCATCTGCGGTCCAAACAGGACCCGTTCTTTGGGCCGTCTTGAGCCTCAAACTGAGATCTCTGCAGTGACCAATTTGGACTCCCTGAGACGGCCTGGCCACTCCAATGAATCTGAAAAACCTGTCCATGCAATCAATCGTCGGCTGCTAGCGAGCGATCGAGGGAGGGAGGGAGGGAGGGAGGGAGGGAGCCTGACCAACGAAAGGAAAATACATCACAATACAATTAACACTACGAATTGTATAATGATCATTTGAGCGGCGGCATTTATTCATTGCTTGACTCGAATACACTATCTATTATGTGAAGGTCATGTCACAGTATCTTGTTTAGACTACTTTAGCAGCAAATCACAGTATCTTGTTCAGACTACTTTGGTGCCAGTGTCATCAAGAAATGTATAGTTTATGTGGGAGCCCTATCTCGTTCACCAGCGATTACTGATGATGTTGGACAAACAAATAGAGCATGCCGTAGACTACATTCCTAAGGAATGAAAGTGGTTGCTCATTTGATGATCTCCATGAGGAAAAATCGCTCCGTTGCTTCCCAATAGCGGCGCACGTGTTCCCCATCTCTTTTTCAGCGGTCTCCTTGGCCGCCTCAGGCCGCTCGATCACCCGAGGTTGGGCCGTTCCATAGCGGCCATAGCGGTGCCCAGCTGTGTCCAAAGCCGTCCAACGATCACGGAGTTTGCGGCAAAGGCGAGCCACGCGTACGTACTGGGTCATGCGCTCACGGGCGGCCAACATTGCCTGCCCGGTGTCCCAGCGGTTCCGATTGGGAAACAGGTGGGAGTCTTTTTTGGGGTTGGACAGGGTGGGTCTGGTCCTTTTGGGGGTCGCAGAAGATCTGGAGTCGGGCACCAGGAATGTTGATGTCTTCCACCACCAAGGGGTTAGCAACGCTGAGTTGTTTCAAGGCCGAAATAAACTTCAACGAGACACCAGGCTTTCTAGGCAGGCACACCAGGTTTGGAGCATCTCGCATCCACCAGAAATCACAAAACCCTTAGTAAGGTTGTTGCTAACTGGCATGACATCCTTAATTTGCTGACCGTAGACGTGCCAAGGAGAAATGGCTCTCAGGCTGGGGGTTCTTTCAGTGGTTGCTGACGCCAGGCATCCGGCTCTGGACTTCAAGCACACTGTTGTTTGGAAAGGGGGCGAGGTATGAAGGGCAGGGCTTGTTAGTTTTCTTGACGGTTTCGGACGGTTTTCATCGTTTGTTTGTATACATGCTTCTGGGAATTGGCTTTTGCAGCATTCTGCATGTTAATGTGCTTTTGAAGGCAATGACGACTTACTTGTTTTCACGAGGTTTTAGAAGCAGCAGCAAGGCAAAGCGCTTTAAAACGGTTGTTGGAGTCAGGCTTCTCTGCTTGATGGCTTCCCAAAGTGGTTTTCAACGCTTGTGCCCATCGTTGATTGGCAAGATTTTGCATCCCTCCAAAGAGCGCAACACGGAAAATGTGTAGGAACCCCGTCAGGTGGTGTGCTTTGATGTCTTTTTTCACTTTGGTCCCTCTATCGTTCTCCCTGGCCATGCCATGACCGCCGGGCCTCCCAAGCACCCCACGACAAGAGCTCCCTGCTGGGCTGCGAGTTCTGAAGTGCATTCAGGACCGCCATAGCATCAGCGGGACCTGGAACGGGCTGAGTTCTGCTTGAGGAGGGTCATGTCACGTCTAAATCTAAGCAAATAGGATAGGCCAATCGAGATTCTATTCTGAGAAGTGTTGAAAAGTCCGGTTCACAGTCCCAACCCCCCAAAACCCCACAGAAGCATCCTGTGAGGACCCATATATGTCACACCCCTCATACACTGGCAAAAACACCTGTGGCATTCCGCAGCTCGTTCATGGCCAACTGGAAGCCGCACTCATCCACCTCTGCTTCCGCGTCTGCTTCCGCGTCTGCTTCCGCGTTTGCTTCCGCTGTCGTGTCGTCCAAAATCTCCACTTCTTCCACCTCCTCGATCTCCACCTGTCCAGCTCCGGAGCTCGATTCGTCCAGTCGGCGTGCTACGAGTCGCTCGCTCCGTACGAGTCGCTCGCGCCGACCCCGTCTGACCCGTCCGACCCGTCCGACCCGCGGGTGACACGAGGAAAGTGTGCTGGAAAGCTCGGAAAGCTCTGAGTCCGGGACGGTCGGCAGAACGGAAGAAGTCTTCCTGGGCTGGATGCGATGGTCAGCGGAGCTGGACGTGACTTGTGGGTGTGTGTCTGAATGTGGACCCTCTCCAAGTATTGTGTTGTCAGTATAACATATCATAAACCAGATGTTGTGAGACTGGCCAATAATATATCAATTTTGGAATCCTCGGTGTTTTGGTGCTTAGCCGATCATCAATAAACATCCAATCTAACCGGAATGTCACCTTCCGATTTCGAGGGTTGCAGTCAGTAATACTTCTTGATCCACCCGCAAGAGGCAAGCAAATGGCGAGGTGTGGTGTGATGACCTTTTAAGATTCAAAACAAAATAAAAAATAAATAGTACATACCCTGTAAGCCTATACCCATAAAAAAGACAGGGTATGATTCCAGACCTCGGGTTTGGAGCACAATGTGCTTGAAACCTCGGGTTTGTATCCGATACCTTGGCTCTTGCCAAGGAACCCTTTCTTTTTGGTGTTGTGTGGTTCCACTCGCCGCCCCGCCCCGCTGCAGCAGGGCGTTCAAACATCGTTCAACTGCAGCAGTGTGGCTCCAGATTAATATTTATATATTTATATAATGTAGACTCTTGATTAATAAAAACCATCCCATTTGGATTTAAAGTCCTCTTCAAGTGGCGGTATTATTAATCAAGAGTCTACATGACAATAAAACAATAAGTGTTCCACCCTTCTCTCCCGGATATCCGATCCCTGTTACCCCAGTGGTTCCGCCGAGTGTCGAGGCGGAACTCGGGCCTTCCTTCACCTGGCTCTCCTGGCGGAAAAAAGCTGGAAATGCACGGGAAGTCCCAAACCTCCGTCGGAAGTCCCAAATGCTAAGCTTCTTTTTTTAACAACTGGTGCTTCAGTGCTTGATCTAAACTCCTTCTTACGGAAAGGCAATTCTTCGCGAAAAGCATGCACGAACTCGCGAACTCGAAAAGATCTGTCGAGAACAGCACAGAAGGCGCTCAATGAACTTAGGCCTTCTGTCGGCCTTTTGATCAACGAATAGTATCGCAAAATGGAACCACAGCATACTAAACAATGAAAAAAAAAATACACCGACCGGTCTCCCATCACTATCCGTCACTATCCGTCACCACGTTCCCCACGATCTGCAAGCTCCTCTGTGTGCACCGACTCGGGACCCTCCTGTGGCACTGGCACACGTTCGTGCAGCTTCTGCACGTCTTCCGGCTCGGACGAAGCCCTGGTGTGACCAGTCACTCAGCTGGTCCAATGCGGAAACGTCCAAGACTATCTTCACTTACCTTGTGGCTTTGGGATGTTTTGGATCTTTTTGTGTCCTTTTAAGATCCTTCAAGTTGCAGGCGCTTCTTTTTGCAAAATGCTGGGTTTCTGCCGAGCCACCTGTCATGCTCACCGCCAGATGTCATGGCCGCCATGGCCCGCTCCGCAGCTGCTGAAGACGCTGCCGGCCACTCCTTCGGTGCTGATGCTGCGCACGCTTTGGTCTTGGCCGATGCCTGCCAGGTCGAAAAAAGGACGCTCGACCATCGCTCTTAGGTTGGAGGCCATCGCTCTTAGGTTGGAGGCCATCGCAAGTAGGTTGGAGGCCATCGCAAGTAGGTTGGAGGCCATCGCTAG